GAAAAAAATTATAAAAATTGGGGAAAATAAATTTGTGAACCAACGGTAGAAAACAATAAGCAACAATTTCGCAGTATCAATGAGCAAAAGGATCTTTCTGTGATATATTTCCATCAATTTTCGATTACTTTTTTTTGAAAATTCCTGGGTCCAGTGTGCAAATTGTGTACCAAATGCTTCAAAATTCTTGCTGAGAGCTACAACTTCCGCCCACCAAACCAACATTGCATTTGTTGGAGGGAATACTACCATTTAAAATGCTCATCGGTTTTTCACAGTTTTCTCAAAAGACAGTGAAGTCTTTGAAGTGATGCCCGCAATCGTCGTCAAAAAGGTGGCCCTAGTTAAATCAGTCGAGACGGGGCTGCACCAGTCTTGTGCTGAAATGGTAGGACACCTTAGCAGTGACTGATCGATGATGCACAAACGCTTTAACGAAGTTGATTGCACAAGAAATTCTAATAAATGTGCTCATCTGCTACTCACGTGTGCTCAAAAAGGGTGCGTTTTTGACCCTATGTGGCAAAAAAGACTCCGGGAAAAATTGTCCAGTTGAGCTGGTAAGTTTTAACTTTTCCACCATACAGTGCAGGCCCTTCTCTAACTAACTTTAAGACTCCCGCTATATCTGTGGTTCCTTCTTTTAGCAATTAGGACATAATACATGCGTCTAGAATGAATCTGCAAAAGCAGCGAAATTCGAAGCGGAACTTGACAGTATAATTACAATAGAGCTTACATTAGGATAGCAAAGATAGTAATTTTTTCCAAGCTTAGCCTCATATTATTGATGACTGCTGTTGAATTATACGCAAATGTTTTCACCTTCCTTTCACTCTCCTATGGCGTTCAAAGAGCTGCATACATAGGCAATCCTTCGCAATTTTTCCAACAAGAAGGGAATTGAAGGGAGAGAGGGGTTAGATGTATATATCCCGCGGTAAGGGGGTCTGCACTACAGAATTCACAATAAAACTAACGACGGTCTCCAAAACTCTGATAATAAGAGTCGATAATTAGCTAATGGTTGAAAAATGATAGTTGTAACTAATGACAATTTATGGGATATGACTGCAACGTGATAATCATTTTGTGGCAAGAATTTTTTACATTTGTGGAGACAATAGTCACTTGTGTTGTGAAGTGTGCAGTGGACAACACCCGGCCACCGGACGCAAGGAGTACCCGGGGTCATATTGGTGCAGGAACCTAGGGCATCGAAACCACGACAAGCACTACTTCATACTAACAACGTTTCCAAGGAGTAATGTTACCTTCACACGGCGGCGTGTTGCTTTGTTCGTCCGTGCTCTCTCGGCAAGAGAGCGCCGAGCTCAAGTCTTGGAGGAAGTGAGTGAATAGTTACAGCCAGGTGACCTTGCACGCACCAACTTTTACAGCAAGATGGTTGTCAGATGCGACAAATCGCCCGATTCAGTAGCGATTGGTCACAATGTCTTACACCCGCTTAAGCATCAGGAGGAGAGAGGAGGATGGTCTCCGGGGTACGCGAGCAATTTCCACTTTTCCCCGAAGTTCATCTCCCTTTCTCTTCTGGGCTTAATCCTAGGAGCTGTGCCATGGCGCCACTGTGTACCCCCTCCACCTATATTTGCAGTTTGAAGGGGAATAAAGAGCTCCTGAGTGGGTGAACATATTTTCTAAGCTATGTAGAGGGAGTAGAAGTTGGATCACTTATCGCGGAGCTGCTTCGCCTGCTCATCTTCCGAAAATCCTGACTCATATCTAACTTTAAAGGTCAACTAGTCTTAACTAAAGAAGAATTCCGACAAAACGTTCGTATGTGTTTCATTAAAATTGATTTTCTAGAATATGCGTGAATCCACTATCAGAGGACATCGAAAACTTATGCGGGTAAGCAACTCGTTGCTTTACTATGGCCGTAATAGATGACTCGTATTTAGGCTCTTATCATTCAAGCTTCACTTCCCGTCCTTTTCATATTTCCACCTATTCTAATATATGCCCTATACCACCTTGAATTCATCAATTTCACAATTATCGAGTATCTCGTCTATGTGCTATTTAGGTATGTTCTCAGAACAACATATCGCACACTAATCGTGATAAATTTCGCATACTTCTATATTAAGTTTTATTTAATGCTTATTTTAGCTTCTATCCTGCAACCAGCCCATTTGTGACGTTATACTTTGTTATGCCATTCAACATGGCCGTTAGAAAGTTGCTTGGAATTCCAAGCAGGATATCAGACGTGTCCAAATCCATGCAAAGTGCAGTGAGCACACAAAAGTAAGAATACGAAGGAAACGTCCAAATCAAGAATAGAAAGGTGAGATATGTAATAAGCAGGCTCATTTGTAGCATATCTATGGGGCAGCGTCGCGCCATCCCAGCCGTCTTGCTGCTCGCATTTCGCATAAGCCAACATTCCCAGATCGAATTCGGCGAAACAAAACGAAACGCCGGCGAAGCCCTAAATAGGAGCTTTCCCGCTCCCTCTCTGGAATGAAGTGATGGCCGGTCGGACGAATTGTCTGAACTGGCTTGCATTTCTTGCTGGGTCGTTCCAGCAAAAAATGCGGCTGCAATCGCATTTAGCCCTAATAGAAACATAGACATATGTATTCGTAAAACAACAAATTAAAACCAATCAAAAGACGCAGCATAAGCTTCGAAAGGCGGGGCAGTTACAAGCAATCACACAAGGATCCGCATCCAAGCGTGCTCTCCACGGCTGCGAGTAGGCTCTAGGGGGCCTAGTTGCCTCGCCCACATCGAAGGCGTTACACCCCTTTTCAACAACTTTCAAAGGCGAGTTTTTGAATCAGTGGCTATAAGGGCTAGTGCATCTTTCCACACCATTAGAATTGAATGGTCGAAACCAGGGTCAAGCGAACCGTCGAGAAAATTTATACGACCCCCCTCCCTCCCCCAGAGGCCGAAGTCCATGAAACGACCCTCTTCAAAAGCCGAACTATGAAAAGGTTGTTTAATCTCTACCAAAACTGTTCATAAAAAAGCCCTGCTACTTCACCCTACACCAAAAAATTCGTTTCACAATCACGACGGCGCCCCTTTTCCACTTTCGGTCGGGACGGACGCGATTTTGTGGGCGCCGCCGCCTCACCTCACACCGCAGATTTTGTACTGTAAATGAACAAAAACATGAATGACAAAATAATTTGTGCAAAGTCCAATGCATAAAGATAATTTAATTATACAATACCGCTCACAGAATGTGAAAAAATGACGGTGATTGACCGTCGCACCTATCAAAGACCGTCGCACTACCATAACTCCGCTGAAAGCGAATGAAACGGAAAAATTTAAACTCCTATAGATACGTCTCCTCACAACGAGTTCCAGGATGTGTTATGGGTCGGGATCGGTTAAGTAGGTCACCAGCTTTACCTTTTAAGCTGGGGCAAAATCCAATTCTGACCTCAAGGTAGAACACCATTCGTTAGATCCCATGTTTATGTGCACAGTAGTCTACCGCTCGCACACTCCTCCTTTTTTGATGCATTTTTATCCATGTTTCACAGTCGTTCCCGATGCGAACGAGCCCTTCAATTTTACGACATTTCCAAATTTTGAAAGCGTATTTCATCAAAGTCTGGAGGAAATACGACGAAACGGCTACAAGATCTTGAACTAGGTATGTAACTGCGCAACAACTTTGTTGTTTATTGGAATGCAGCAAAGCGGTTCTTACATAATTTAGCTCTGAATATCGGTATACGTCAAATTCTTCGAGCACAATCACTTTTCTTTTCTTTCCGAAATTGCGCTTAAGCGAAATGTATGACCAACGAATCGAATGGTTATTCCAAGAATATGACATATTGTGCCGTATAATGGCAATAATGGCTTATGAACAAACGTTAAGGTAAACTAGATAAGAGACAATACCTCACCCTTTGAAAAAAAAAATTTACGGACAGAGAATACAGAACTAGTGTTGAAATTCATACAGTTGTACTCGGCGCGATGAATGCTATACAATGATATGTAATAACCAAAATTAAAAAATGTTGAGAAAAGAATAAGAGGTGGTTCGTTTCGCCTCTTACTCAGACGAACCACTTATTGTTTCTGACAACCCATAATGTATTATGGGTGGACAAAAACAATATGTAAATGAAAGGATACAGTGTTAGTAAAGATGATGAGTTGTTAGAAAGTAAAAGTAAGAAGAAAAAATGTTTTTGTCAACCCTTGAGGCTCATCAGTGAGTAGGGTTGTCAAAAACAGTTAAAAGGAAGAAGTGGTGATTAATAAATAAATAAAGAGGAGGTAAGCGAGTAAAGAAGAACAATGAGAAACAATGAGAACAACCTAACAACCAAAAACGACAAAAAGACAAAAAGAACGACGACACGAGAATAATGAAAAAATGAGAAACCACTGTGTTAGAGTGCAATATTAGGACAATATCGAAAAAACTACGTTTGATACTCAGGGCGCCCGTCAGCGAATCCTTTATTTGTAATGGGGCAAGTTATTTATGCATGTTGATATGTGCACAATGTAAAGGGAGGAAATAGGGCTGATCGTAACTAGAATAGCAGTGTGTAGAGGAATATAAGAATACCATTGGAAAAAGAATAAAGGCCGGTAGACTAACATAACTAATATGTTAAAAGATATAACAGAAAAAATTATATAGCTTAGCTAAACAGAACAAGAAACAATAATGTTGATAAAGGCTAATTATTAACAATATTATCAACCAATACGGAGATAGCCTTAATATCATTATCAAGAGCAAACTTATAACTGATGAACTTGTTGCGATATACACATTGTACAACACTGGCTAATATGAACTCTCTGTTATAACCATTATGAAGAAGGATGTCTATCATCTCAATGAGTTTTATA